GTGTACAATTTAACGAACCTTAAATTTAGTAATCAGTCTTTCCTATCGACATTATCTACTTATTTATTGGCTAAAGTATCACTTATATAGTGAATTTGGGTCTATAATAGGTACCTCAGAATTTTCTTAGGTTTTATTAAGGCAAAAAAACAGTAAGAAATTAGACCAGTTACTGAAGGACCTGTAATGCCGACCGCGTTATAGAAAGACCATATTACCGACGGACGGTTAAAGAATATAATTAGCACGTGTTAACTTAATTAAAAGTGCATATTTTCTTTTGCTTTTTCAAATTATACAATTGTTTATTACCTGAGGTATTATCGATTCATGAGGATCAGGACTGGGTTCCGCACTAATGAACAATCGATAATCATCATGTGGATTCTCCGAGCACTGTTCCATCTTTTTTTCTAATGTAGGCAACCATTTCCTCACCAAATGGACATTTTGCAAAATTACCCAATGGCCTTCGTTCGCGGAAAGTTCTATGGCTTCTTCCGCTATGGGTTCTTGACCTTGACCCAGTGACACATTATGGAAATTTCTTCCTCCAAAAGTGAAACCCAATTGCATTCCCAGTTTTTCGACGTCCTGAATTTTTATCGTTGTCGTTATTGTAAATACATATAGGTTATTGGTTGTTCAGGGTATTCATGAATTATATATATCTCATGACTTTGATAAATGATCCCACACCTTCAGATCGATGCAGATTTATTAAAGAAAGTTACCGTACAATAGAATTTCAAAGGTAAATTTTTTGTATGGCATCGTGTAATGGATATCTAATGGATCACGTAATATCTGCAAGGAACCATGAGTTGCATATAAACCGTTCTTTTGGAAAATGACCTTAAAATTTCATTAGCTCATACATTGAAGTTACATTAGAAAATGTTTACATTTCCCAATTAGATAAAAACTAAGTAATGCCATATTAATGAACAAACAGAAAGCTATTCCTTTGAACGTATGATAATCTACGCTAAATAGGATGAAGCATCTAACTTCATCATTTCAAACTATTACAGAATCACTTACTTTATGGAAAAATCTTTCGCATAAAAACTGAATAGCGTTGAAGAGAATATGATTTGGTAGGTGGAACTGCAGAAACGTTAACTAGTCTCCGATTTCCATGTTTTTGAAAGTGTTGTGGAAATCGATATTTCAAATAACCTTTTCCTATATAAGAAGTGAATTCGCTCAGCTTCCAGGATATGCACGAAAAACAATCGATATCACTACAGTGAATTCTACTATCTGCAGGTGTGCAACCGTGACAGCGTATGCGTTAGTTTGGTTGCCGATTGCCGGTCACTTATCTTCTCTTTGAAA